ACGTACTCTGTGAGCTTCCATGTGGGAGGAGCGTTAGTATCTGGACAGCCATGTTTGTGAGAGACAATGTTGTCTGTGGAACGGCGGTGTTCACCGTTCCTTTGGCTGAGTGCGAACCAGCATATTCCACGGGCATGTTGACCTGCAGCCACGCAGGTGCTAAGCTGCCGGCCACATGGGGTGGCCACCAGTAAAAGTGGGGAGAATGGCTGAGAAACCCATTCCTGGAGATTTCTCCTCCCAAACAACTATGGGGCAGACAGAGGCTCTTCCGGCACAGATAACTATAAAGAGCTCTTGACCGACATTAGGTAAAAACCCATGTGTGTGTGTGTCTGAGCCATGGCGGTGGAGACACGGTTGGAGCCAGACAGAGAAATGCATCCCCCCAAAGACAGTTATTGGGTTACTCTACAGAGCCGAAAAGAGGAGGGTCTTGGCTTTCCCTGGGTGACCAGATGGATTGCCCCTTTGTCCACTCCTGGGGTTTTTTTTAGTTGGGCGGCCCGTCCGTTGTTGCTAGTCGGGCGGCCTCGTTTGTGTCTGTGTGTCTCTGTGTTTGTGTATACCTACGTGTCTCTGTATATAAACGTGTGTCTTTGTCTGTGTGTGTCTGTGTGCATAGATGAGTGTTTCAGTGTATGCATACTTCTGAGAGTGTGTGTCTAAGCCACGCAGGTGCCAAGCTGCCGGCCACATGGGGTGGCCACCAGTAAAAGTGGGGAGAATGGCTGAGAAACCCATTCCTGGAGATTTCTCCTCCCGAACAACTATGGGGCAGACAGAGGCTCTTCCGGCACAGATAACTATAAAGAGCTCTTGACTGACATTAGGTAAAAACACGGTGTCAGGCGCCGTGATGTGCTTCTCGGCTCCTGCCTCGAGCTCGGCTCCTTGCTGGTAGAAGTGGAACCTTCGCTCTGCAGCGACCCCGGGAGCCGTGCAGGTGATGATGAGGGGGTGCCCTTCATTCGCCTCTCTGGACGGGGGGTCCACACTCAACGTCGGCTCTGCAGGGGGGCCTGAGGAGAACAGCAGCGTGTGAGGGGCCACCCGGCAGGAGAGGGAGGAAAGAGAAGATGCGGATTGGAGAATGAGATGGGCGTGGCTTCCATCCCCCCATGCCGGTGAAGACTCGGTTGGAGCGAGACAGAGAAATACATCCCCCAAAAGACGGTTACTGGGTTACCCTACGGAGTGGGACACAGGCGGGGCTTGGCTTTCCCTGGGTGTCCGGATGGATTGCCCCCATGGCCACTCCTGGGATTTTTTAAGTTGGGCAGCCCATCCGTTGTTGCTAGTCGGGAGCCCACGTTTCTCACGTCCCCTGTGAGATGCCATATTGGAAGAACGTTAATATCTGGGCAGCCATGTGGGGCAGAAACCCTTTTGTGAATGAATACCTGTTTGTGTCTGTTTGTCTCTGTGTTTGTGTATACCTACGTGTCTCTGTATATAAACGTGTGTCTTTGTCTGTGTGTGTCTGTGTGCATAGATGAGTGTTTCAGTGTATGCCTACTTCTGCGTGTGTGTGTCCGTCCAGGCCATACTAAGAGTTCCTGTTTTCTATTGCTCGTTGTGTGTCCCTACGGCAGCCTCACCTTTCAAAGTGACCATCACAGCCTGGCTCCTGGTGGAGGGAATCCATCTCCCGCTGTCCTTCTCTTCGTACCCGCAGGTGTATACCCCAGAGCTGTTCGTATCCGCCAGCGGGATGCTCAGTACGGCGATGTTCCTAGCTTCGGTGTCGGGCTCTGTGATGTGGGTCTCGGACCCTGCCTCGATCTCTGCTCCGTGCTGGTAGAAGTGGAACCTCCGCTCCGCAGCGTGCCCGGGAGCTGTGCAGGTGACGACGAGTGGGTGCCCCTCATTTGCTTCTCTGGACGAGGGGTCCACACTCAACTTCGGCTCTGCAGGGGGTCCTGAAGAGAACAGCAGCGTGTGAGGGGCCACCCGGGCAGGAGAGGGAGGAAAGAGAAGATGCGAGTTGGAGAATGGAACGGGCATGGCTTCCATCCCGCCATGGCGGTGGAGACACGGTTGGAGCCAGACAGAGAAATGCATCCCCCCAAAGACAGTTATTGGGTTACTCTACAGAGCCGAAAAGAGGAGGGTCTTGGCTTTCCCTGGGTGACCAGATGGATTGCGCCCTTGGCCACTCCTGGGTTTTTCAGTTGGGCGGCCCGTCCTTTGTTGCTAGTCGGGCGGCCTCGTTTCTCACGTACCCAGTGAGCCACCATATTGCAGGAGCGTCAGTGTCTGGGAAGCTATGTTGGGCAGAGACACTGTTGTCTCTGTAGTGGCT